CCCCAAAACCCCAAAACCCCAAAACCCCAAAACCCCTTGAATAAATGAGAATATTGAATAAAAATTTAAATGCTAAAGATTAATACAAACCTTCTGAGAGTTTCTAAAGGTAGATCTAAGAGATCCACATCATCTCGAAAGAAGAGTGATAGAAAAAGTGCAAGGATTCAGAACGATCGGAAATTTGCAAAGAATAGTTTTAGAAGTTATCTTAACTGGCAAGCAGAGTAAGTTTTCCCATAAATTTCCAAAAAATTTTACTTTATGTGCATTCTTAATAACTACCCTGAGTAGGGATGATAAAGCAGCAGAGAAATGCATGAAATTCTCTGAAGATTCTAAATCAATCGGTTTTCAAAGGTAGGCAATACAAAACTTAACAATCTAACAAAGTAGAAAAGGCAGGAAATGGAAGGCAGTTTCTCAGTATATCCTGGATAATGACACTAAGAGGTTCAGAAATTTCTGAAAATAGAGTTAATAGGAATCGAAAGTAAGCTACACATAATACTCTAGGTTTCAAAATAGCAGGAAACAAAATGCAGCTGAAGACTTCTTCAAAGATAAAAACCTTAAACAAGAGCATAAGAAACTAGAGAAAAATATGTCTAATATTCAAATAATTCATAGTAAAATAAAAGGGTTAGTAAACAGAGGGAACAAATTTGTCAATTTCATGACTAAATTCTCTGCTAAAAATCTCAGGACAAAGCCTATAAAACTCCTGCACTACAACATGGAGAAATAAAGGGAAAACCAAAAATTTCCTTAACTATAAAGAAAAGAATGTTCAGACGAAGAGGCACTTCACCAGTAGCAAATTCAAGCTGATAGACTCAGAGAACTTGTTGAAGAAAATTCAGCGAGATATTATCAACCAGGAAAATACTGAGGAAGATCTGAAGCCTCTTATGCTACAGAAGACGTATAAGCAATCTAAGCCTAAACAAAACGTTCATAGTCGCTTGTATTCAAGGAATACCAAGAATTATAGGAGCTCTAAAAACTCTTTAGGAGCAGCACAGAGAATCAGTAAGTACGAGAGATCCCAAAATCAGAAGAAGAGGTTCTTTAAAAGAGAATTGAGTGCGAATCCTGTGAGAAGAAAACATGCAGAATCATGAGTTGACCTCAACGCTGATAGTTCTTCTATGCGATTGAAAGAGAATACCTCCAATAGCAAAAATCATAAGTCTTGATTATCAGAAAGCCGGAATAACTTTAATTGAAGCTCAAATAACTTAAGAGATCTTGTGAAAGACAATCCTATGCTGGGTTATTTTGTATCAAAGAATAATGAGACTCAGCTTGGAAAATTTGGGAATAAAATGCATAATATGAGCCAACCTATTTTAGAGAACCCTAAGCCATTGAAAAAGAGTAGCAGCCGAGTGAGATCATGATATGTTTCTCGGAATCATTCTATTTCTAACCCTGTTAAGTCTATTAAAGATATAGAATCTTCCTTGACATCTGAGGTCAGTAAGAAATTGATGAATATTCATGGATTAAAGCCTCTCAACCCTCTTAATCCTTTAAGTGAGTCGAGTGAGAAGTCCAGTAAGAAAGACCCCTCACAAAGTCCTTCCAAAACCCCAATGAAAAAGAATCGTCCAAAGAATAAAGCAAAGAATCGAAAGTCTAGGTGAGGGAGGGTGGCACGAATGCAGAGGAGCAATAATTCTCTGTTGAAGCTTGCTTACAAACGATTCGTTATCAAAGAAATACATTAATTAAATTATCACTTTAATAAAATTATTGTAAACTTATGTTCCAAACAATAAGTTTCAATTATCAAATAGGCCGATGGGGTTTTGGGGTTTTGGGGTTTTGGGGTTTTGGGG